TCTCTTTGCTCCATTATTCAGCTTTAAGAGCATCTCTTCTCTCTAAGAGCCTTAGGGTATTAATTTTATATATTTAGGAAAAAGGATTTTAACAATAGAATTGCATAACTAAATTATGAGAAATTAAGAAAAACAGTCATCAAAATAATTGAATTGATAATTGAATTGTTAAACAAAATCCGTATAGTGTATTAGTCACTACAATATTTTAAGGCCAAAATAGTAGAAAATGTGTTGTATACATATATTTCTATTTTTCATCATGTATGGATTATAGGTAAAATGAGGGAGAGTTACTAGGATGTGGCAACAGGGAAGGCACTTCCTAGCATGGCAAGTCTTTGTGGGGAAGCTCTGTCCTTAGAAATGCATAGCTTTTGAAGACCTGCAGGACTGTTTTTTATTTTTTAATATTTTTTATTTTTTAACTTTTAATTTTTCAATTTTAAAGACGTGGGGGTACAATTCAGGGTTAGGTATACAAAGGTTCATTATGTAGGTACCCTTGTTGATGAGGTGTGCCCTCCCTTCCCCAAGCAGACTCCCACTACTGACAATGCTGCTTCCCTGCCCCTCTCTCGGCAGTTTCCTGCTACTGCCAATCCTTTTCTTATAGTATTATGATAATTGTTCAAGGTCCACTTATGAATGAGAACATGTGATACTCAGTTCTTTGTTTCTGTGAAACATCACTCATTATTATAGACTCTAAGTTTATCCAGGTTGCTGTGAAGTTCATGGTTTTGTTCTTCTTTATGGCTGCATAATATTCCATCATGTATATGTACCACATTTCTTTTTTTATCCAGTTCTCTCTTGATGGGCAGCATGGTTGGTTCCATGTTCTTGCTACTATGAACAATGCTGTGATAAATATACATGTGCAAGTATCTTTTTTATAGAGTGATTTTAGTTCCTCTGGCTGTATTCCCAGTAAGGGAACTGTGGGGTTGTATGGAAGGTCAACTTTTAGATCTTTTAGGAATTGTGCTTGGCTGTTTTTGACATGGAAAATTGTGTATTTCCATGCCCTGTCTGTTGAAACCTCTATGGCAAGACAGACTACAGACATCGGGCGTGCACTGAGCAAGCAGGAGTGTCCTGGAGCAACCATACTTGTAATGCTGCTGGGACACTCAGTGGTGTGACTAACACAGCATGTGCAAAAGAACTAGGAATAGGGCCTCTTTTTCAGCTCTCATTTCAAGCAGGAAGTGATTTTTCTGATAAAACAGACGAAAAGCTATAGTACCCTGCTCAGCATAGTCTTCCAGCAAATCCGGGGCTAAACAGACAACTCAATGAAGATAAAGGACAAGTACACTGGTTAGTAAGAACAGCTAACTTATTAAACACTAGCTGTAACTAAACACTCTCTCTAATTGCTTTCCCTTTATTATTTTTTAAACTGTGAAAACATGCTTCTCATTCATTTGACATATGAAAAAACTGAGATTGAGAGGTTAAGTAGCTTGCCCAAGTCCAACGGCTACTCTACCAGGATTCACTCCTAACTAGACTGATCAGACTACTGTTAAAATCAACTCTTTTTAAGTCTTCTCCCTACATTGCCTTTTACCTGAATAAAGTCAGTGACTTCCTTCTGCAGGGGATATAAATGCAAAGAATGACCTGCATGAAAAATGTCCTTAAAACAATGAAGTTCTTTCTGGTTTAGGAATAAGTAGATAAATGGAACAAAATCACATGTAAAGAAATATACCTGAACATATATGCAATCTATATGATTTAATGTGGTATTTCAAATCAGTAAGGAAGGTAGTCAGTATTAAATACAGTGACTATTTGGGAGGAAAAACGGTAAGTTAATGCTATATCTTTGTTTTTTTAAAAGTATACTTCCAGGAAAATTTGAGTATTTCAGAGATTTTACTCAGCCCCCATTTGTGAGGATTAGTCTTTCCAGAGAATTCATCTGGAGAATATTTACTTTCAGAGAATGCACCAAAGAGGGAGGTATTTTTATTAAAAGTGCCTTGGAGATAGAATTTTCAAAAGACAGAAGAGAACAGTGTTGCGCTGTGTCTTAAGTGTCTCACAAATACACTGGAAGAAACGTATTCCCTCTAGGCTCATAACCTCTCTAGGTTATGAAGTATGTGGCTCCCTTTCTGGGGAAGGAAAAGTTTCTAATGTGTTTACTATCACTGGAGGCTATGAGATGGATTATTTCTCTCCACTCTTGTTGCTAACAGAAAAAAAAAAAAGACTCTGCAATAAGAGTATGGGAATGAAAGAGCTGTATGTAGACACAGCTCTTCTTGGGACCGTTAGGAAAAAAACTGAAGAAAATAAGCAAAAAGAGACAACATAAGGAAAAGAAAGGAACCTGGCCAGACCTGAATGGGGACTCTTCCCGTAGCTACAGTGGAAGAGGGAAAGGGCTGTAGAAAAATAACATTGCATTTGGCTCTGCCTTGCTGGCTTTCCTGCTCTAGGCTCTGTTATTATTATTGTTAACTTAAAAAAATTTTTTTTTGCTGGATCATTTATATTCTTAGAGTAGCTCAAATAGTTAAGAAACTATAATGGAAGTAGCTCAAATCCTTTATGGAACTAGGCTGGTTATACTGTATATGCATAAATATAAACACATACTTTTAACAGAAATATTTACAAAAATATTACATTTATTTATATACATATATAATACTTATGTGTATGTAAAATTTAAAATATATATTCATTCAGAAATTAATATATAATATAACATATGTAGACCTCATTCTTGAGTTTAGGTTTAGTAGCTCTCAACAAGTTATTTTTTGTCTTTATAAAGTCCTGAAGATAAGAAACCCCTGCAGATACTCTTGTGCATGATTCCTAGACCAGGGAGTGGGGTGGATGCCACCTGATCACTGGAGTCAAGAATTTGGTACCCAGTGGGGTAAGAATTGGCTGAGGGTGGGAGGGACAAAAGCAAGATGGCTACACCAGAATTCTGACTGGAATGCCACTCTTGACACTGGCACAAGGTAAAAGCACAGGGAACACATAAGTCAACCATATAAGTCAACTTCTTTATTATTATTATTATTCTTTAGTTTTTACTTTTTTATTATAAAGATGTGGGGTACAATTCAGAGCTAGGTATACATGCAAATGTTGATAGATTGTCACATAGCCAAGAACTGGGCTGGATTTTGGCAGAATTAGTAAAAATTATTTTGTCAGAAGGATCTGAGTTACACAAGCAAGAAGATGTTCCCTATGAACCAAATAAACAACTCATGGGCAAGGAGACTGTCGCTGGAAATTCTAGGGTACATTAGCACTTCCCAGTTAACTATAGTTCCTTGGGGCAGAAGGGGAGTAAAGAAGCAATAGCGGAGACAGTGTGCATTTTATTGAATCTTCCCGTCTGCAGGTAAATGTTCATTTGTGCTTCAACCCAGTTATTCTAGCTTTTTCTCAACAGGAAGAAAATGTACTAGGAAGTAGGTGAGGAGTGAGAATATGGGTATATGTGAGATGTTCTCTCTCTGTATATTAATTATATGGTGACATCATTAAGCAGGATTTTGATGGGATTAGAGTGTGGCGCATCCTTCTTTATATAGTCACAGGTACTAAAAAACAATGGGTGAAGCAACTCTGTGAAGACCAGAATTTGATGATGGTGAAGGAGGTATGACTCAGCCTTTGTTGTTCCCTTTCCTGTCCTTTGCTCTTTTCCTCCGATCCAGGATGATTTCTCAGTAAAAAATATAGTGCTATACACAATCATACAGTGGTTGTCATTGCTATAATTTTATTGACTGCTTATTAACATTCTCACATGCGTCATCTCATTCAATTTTCTCAACAGAGCCAGGCTTTGAAAATAGTTCTGCACACAGACCTTAATACTCTACTAGTGATTCTTATCAGTTGGGTACACCCGTGTGTTAATTCATCCTATATATGCTGTCTTTAGTCCTTACCATAAAAATGCTGCAGATAAAGAGGAAAAAGAAACAAGAAAATTCCTTACTTTCATTCCTTTTTTCCTTCCTTTTTTCCCTCCCTCCCTACATTCAAAAACCATTCAGTAAATCCCTTCGCTATGCTAAGCACCATGCTAGGCATTGCAAATAGGATTAAAAAAAGATTAAAATCCCTGTACGTCTAAAATTCATGGTCCAGCCAGGAGAAAGTAAAAAGAAGGTAGATAGATAACTATATTTTTATGTCTTTTAAAATCTCAAATCAGATTCCATGGATTTGCCTACTTATATTTCCTCTTGGTTTTCTTTTCTTTCTTTTTAAACCAATATCTGACTTGGTACACAGAATATTTTGAAGACTCCACATGTATTCTATTATACTGTTCTATATACTTTTATCTTGGCATGGACATTGTATCTGCCTTACTGAGTAAGTATTTCATAGATATAAACAAGTCTTTGGCACTGTCTACAGAGCAAAAGCTGAAAAAAATAGGACTTGGGTCAAAACAAGCCTCTGAGATGCAGGGAGTGAACTGTTCTTTTGGAACTTAGTGGGTGTGAGAGGTGATGCAGTATAGGAGCAAGTGGGAGTTCTCTGTGGGGAGTGTGTGTATGCATGGGCAGCAGGGGAGTTGGATAATGACAGAGGCAGATTCTCCCATCTGGGTCACATATCCTCATGGTGAGATTTTCTCCTATGATAAGAAAAGTTGGGATTTACAGAATATCTATACATATTCAAATCTATGTTCATAATACATTTTAAATCCTAACAAACAATCTCTGAATTATCACTATTTAATAAATATCATACTTAAAATCTATATCTAAACATAGGTCATATGTGGTTGGGCTTCAAGAAATCTGTGAACCCCTACAACTACATGAAACATTGTGTTTTTCTAACTTTCATCAAATTTGAACCTATGTCTCTAAAATGACTCAATGAATAGTTTAAAATTGAGAAATGAAGCCCCAAAACAAGAGTTATTTTTCCCTCCTAAAATTAGAACTTCTAGCATATGATTTTGATATAAATACTGTACTTACATCAAGAGCCACAGACTGCTTGGCCCAGGACTTCTTTACTTGATCATACATGATTGTGTTGTTGATGCCAAGGCCACAAAAGATGACAAAAGCCTAGGAAAGGGAAGGCTTATTAATTAAAAATTGCAATAAAAATTAAAAACACATTGGCAATCTAATATGAACTCAGGTAGTTGCTAGGGATGAGTCTGAAAATATCATTTCATTGTACACAGAAGTGGGCTTTGGGGAAATAGGCACATTAAAATTCTTAATTACTATAGTCATGTAACAACTTTATAGATCACATTGCTCATGAGAAAACATTATTAATTTAATGTCATGGTGGAGAAACTACTTTATATGTTTAAAAACATACTTACAGTCTTTTTAAATGTGTTCTTAACTTAGATTGTGGACTGATTCCAGCAATTCCATTCTATTTAACCAAAAGCAATCTCTTTCAGTAGGTAGGCTATAAAATAGTTTGGTAAAGAAACCAAATGAGCTAAGCTCGGTGGCTCAGCCTGTAATCCCGCACTTTGGGAGGCTGTGGTGAGTGGATTACCTGAGCCCGCAGGTTCGAGACCCGGTTGGGCAACTTGGTGAGACCTCATCTCTACAATAAATCAAAAAATTAGCCGGGCGTGGTAGCACGCGCCTGTAGTTCCAGCTACTTGGAAGGCTGAGGCGGAAGGATCGCCGGAGCCCAGCAGGTTGAGGCTGCAGTGGCCGGGAGCAGCCACTGCACTCCAGTCTGGGCGACAGAGTCAGACTCCAACTCAAAAAAAAAAAAAAAAAAAAAGAAACCAAACGAGTGTAACCATAAGGTAAGTGTTAAGGGGGAAGGAAGACTGAGCTAGAACCATTAATAAAGAAGCTGTGAAGTATTCTTGGCTAGAGAAAAATAATGCGTTTTCATGTTGGCTGCTGTGTAATCTATGAGGAAACCCATTCGAGGCTAACCTCTCCAGTTAGAGGGTTTGGAGTGGATGGGAGTTTGTGAACAAGAGAAACAGTAAGAACAGTACACCTGGTAAGGCTGGCCCGGGTCTCACGTCTCTAAACACACATGAGCCAGACAAGGATAGGCAACAACAATTTGGAGAGAAGAGAGGGAGATTCAATTCTGTAATAGGCTTAGAATAAAAATAACGAACGGTTACAAAATAATCCAATTAGTGAAAAACCGAATCAAATCTTACCTGAGCATTTATATGTCTTACATCTTCCTGTAAATTTTGTCACATCATTCAATTATAGCAACAATTGATTAATAATTATTTATCTTTACAAATTTGGGCACACTGCAATCAGGAGTCTATTGGTGACTCAGTATACACCTTGGTTTATACAATTATTTTCTTACCTCAAAAAGTCGTTGATCGGCATCATCAAAAGGTTTCCCATCAAGTCTATTTAGCACTTGAGCCACACCTGTGGGAAAAGTTTGGGGTATATGGTGGTCATTTTCAGTATGGGACATTGTGTTACTATAACAGAGTAAGCCACAGCTGACTCTATGCCTCCTTTAAGTAACTACACTCAGTTTAAACTCTGGTCTCTTGAGTACCTGATGACTCCCTGAGATAAGTCTGAGGTACACAATGGTGCAAATCTGCTTCAAGGCTGTGATGTTCAGATGAGGTCTCTAAGTCCTCATTTACTAAGTCTAGAGTTCTACCAGGAAGCGATTTGATTCCTTGAAAATGGTTTTCAAGATGACTGTGCACAGCAATTCTAATATATCTGGCATACACACACACACATCCCCCATACCACACACACGAATTTAGTTGCATATAGACTATTATATATATAAAATTGTATGGATGTGTGTGTGTGTATGTGTGTGTGTATTTGAATTCCCTGAAGTATGATGCTTAAGAGAGGCAGTATGGTATGGCATAGCGATCCAGAACATAGGCTCAAATTTCAACTGGGTTCAAAAGTCAACTCTACCATCAACAGTGTGACCTTGAACAAGTTACCTAACTTTTTTAGCACTAAATTTCCTCATATGTAAAATGGGGATTAAAATGTTAACTGTTTAAGAAGGTTATGAAGATTAAATGAGATAATATTGGAGTGCTTGTAAAGCATTTAGCACATTGCTCCACTTGAGTAAACACTCAAGAAATGTTAGGAATTACTACAAGCAATAGAAATTAATATAATACAGTTAACCTACAAAGTCATGGTTAGTTCAGTCGCCTGCTACCAATGGGGTACACGTAGTTCTAACAAACTTAATTTATGATTGCTGAATCTTTCCTGAGTTCATTTCTAGCCTCATACCAGATGTTTTAGAGCATGACTTTCAAAACACACAAGCTTTACAAGAAAAACTGAACAATCTTGATAACCATTAGCCTGTGTTCCCATTTAGTACAAAAAAGGCCATAATTCTAAAATATGCTCATATTTTTTTTAAAAGAACTTAACTTCCCACCAGGGAGGTAAGTCATCAAATGCAAAATTTTTAGCATTTACTGGGCAAACTACAGTCCTAGTTTTGAAGTAATGACAAATGTTTCCTGTTAAGATTTAAATGTAGGACTGTATGTGAGATTGCCATTGAATAACAATAGATAACATCTGCTGTTTCTTATGAATTTTCTCTTATCTTTAAACATAAACAAATTTAAAGCTCTGTACATGATGTAAGTAAATGCTTTGTACTCAGGGCTCAAATTCTCAAATCTTAGAATATTCATGTTCAGTAATGTACTAACTTTTTGTGCAAATTAAACAAATTAAAACGAACTAATGAAAAAATTCTTTCAGAATTCGGAATTCATATCTTCATAATGCTCACAAAATATTCAATCTTTTGAAAAGTAGAAAAGTCTTAGAGTTTAACAGGCAATTTTAAAGTCTTAGAGTTTAACAGGAAAAGCAGAGAGAGAGACAAACAGATGCATTAGCTATCAACTATATTAGTTTCCTTATATCTCTTTGGAAAAAATCCCACAAATTTCCGTTGTGTTTCAATAACTTTAACTAATACCTCCATCCTTTATGACTTCTCTATTTTAATCACGATATCTCCTTGCTTGGGTGTCTTTCTTGGATTTGATGCTTTTCTGATTTAAGTGTTTTGAGGGCAGGGGAAGGGACAGGGAGAAAGATAAAAATTGGAAGCTGCTTTTGCCCACAACTCCTTTATTCTGGGGGAAAGCATGGCCCATTTCAAGACTGCCCAGGAAGAAAGATGCATACTCAGTATATGCCTATTACTAAATGTTCTTTCATCCTTTGCGTTTGCAACACGTGTAAAAGCACAGATGTAAACATATAGACAAAGTGGGAAAATTGGTACTAGGAGTTAGGAGACCTGAGTTTTAATCCTGACACTGCCACTAACTATTCTGTGATTAAAGTCCTCTTCCTATCTTTGTCTCTCTCTCTCCCTCAATTTCCACAAAGTAAGATAAAAGAGTTCCATTGGTTGACATCTCAGACCCCCTCCAACTTCAAAATGTATTGGTACTTTGCACTTAATAAATATTTGTTCAAGGTCTAATTAATTTTGATTCATTAAGAGTCTGTGCTTATGAGATTAGGCAAGAGTATGAGACATAGTTTGATTAGTCCTGGATATAAAAAGGGGGAACACACATAAAAGACATGGGTGTATTTTAAAGCAAATTTCTATTTCCTCTCTTTCCCTTTCATTGTTTTTCTCCATGAACACAAAAGTAAAATATACTTATATTTTTATATGTGTAAGAAGTTTGAACTATTTAGGTCATATCTTACCAATTATTTGGTGGTTGCTATTCCAAATAGGGACACAGAGAACAGATCTTATGTGAAAACCTGATATCTGGTCCACCTAGGATATAAGAAAGAAGTTAATTAAAATTAAATGTTAATTACCCATTTCTGATTCACAGCTTATCACTCTTTATAACATTCAAAAATTACTTTTAAAAAGTTGTTTTACACTTTTTAATGTAATTTTAATGCATACACTCACCTGCCTCTTTTATTTAAAATATCATAATGAACATCCCAAGAAAACCAAACTCAAATCAAGTGTGAATCAATCAAAACATCCCAAGCCAATACGACTGCCCTTAATCTCTGCAACCATAAGAGATCTGGTTGTGAAACTGTCATGACCAAGATCATACCAGCAGACAAGAATTCTGGCAACTGTTTCTGAGTATTTAAAACATTTTAATTAAACCAATGGTCAATATTTATTTCTTTGTCAATATGTTTACAATGGGCACACCTTGTAGTAAAATTGGTTGCTCCTAAAATGCTGCTATATGTACATTTATTTTTAATACTTTATATTTCTACCATTTTATATATATATATGTGGTAAAATTATATATAGAGAAATTGGAAGAGATAAGATAAATGTAGAGATTAGAAAATCTCCTTTCTGTACCCTATCAGATGTCAGGAGGTTATATGGAGTTATATGGAGTTATAATTACCAACATCAGACATCATTTAGTAACAAAGCTCCACTTAATATTAAAAACAATGGTTCATATTTGAGTGATTAAGGCGGAGCTGCCAAGACTGAAAGAGTCTCAGCAAATTAATATGATCTTGATTTCCAGTGAGAAAGGTCAACCTATCATCTTAATACTACAGGAGAGAAAACAAGCTTATCAAGGTTTTGAATCATGGTTACTGAGATAAAAAGATATCTTAAAATATTCTTGACTGGGCACAGTGGTTCATTCTTGTAATCCCAACACTTTGGGAGGCAGAGGCAAGAGGATTGTCTAAGACCAGGGGTTTTAGACCAGCCAGGGCAAGTTGGTGAGACCCCATCTATACAATAAATAAAAAAGTTAGCCAGTCATGGTGGCAAGAACCTATGGTTCCAGCCACTTGGAAGACTGAGGCAGAAGTATAGTCTGAGCCCAGAAGGTTGAGGCTGAGGTAGCTGTGAGTGTATTACTGCACTCCAGCTTGGGCAGCAGAGTGAGACTCTGATTAAAAAAAAGTAATTAATTAATTTAATATTCTTTATTTACATTAAGAGTCACATACTTTAAACATTTGAAATTGGAAGTTAGTTTACATACCTAATATTTCTATTTGAATATCTTTCTTTTTGGCTCCCTTGTTTGAGAAATTAATTTTCTAGATGCCTTCTATTTGTTGTACTAATATATTAGTTTTCTGTTTCACTATGTTTTGAAGATTAACATTCATGTAGAGAAGTATAAAAATCCTAAGTATACAGCTCAATGGATTTTTACAAAGTGAACATATCTATGCAACTATCATTGGGATCAAGAAATAGGGTATTTTCACCACCCTAGAAGCTACTTTCATGCCCCTTTCTCCTCCCAAAAGATAATCAGTATATATTGACTTTTTTTTTTTTTTTTTTTTTTGAGTTGGAGTCTTACTCTGTCACCCAGACTGGAGTGCAGTGGCCGCTCCCGGCCACTGCAGTCTCGACCTGCTGGGCTCCAGCAATCCTTCTACCTCAGCCTTCCAAGTAGCTGAAACTACAGGTGTGTGCTACCATGCCTGGCTAATTTTTGATTTATTGTAGAGTTGAGGTCTCGCCAAGTTGCCCAGGCGGGTCTCGAACCCTTGGGCTCAGGCAATCCACTCACTTCAGCCTCCCAAAGTGCTGGGATTACAGGCTGAGCCACAGAGCCCGACTACTATACTGACTTCTAACACCATGCTCTAGTTTGTTTGTTTTTAACTTTATATAAAAGGAATCACTGAATGTGCATTCTTCTGTGTCTGGATTATTTTGCACAATTTTAAAATTTATTCATTTTGATCATTTTAATGGCAACATATTCTACCATATGAATATAATATTGCTAATTCATTACAACCCTGATGAACATTGTGTTGCCTCCAATTTGGAGTAATTACAAATAGTGCAATTATCAATTGTCTTGTACATACTTAGTACACATATGTATTTCTGTTGGACATATATCTATAATAGAAATCCTGGATTATTCACATATTCTACATCAATGAATGCAGTCAAAGAGTTTTCCAAAGTAGTTGTACTAATTTACCTTCCAACCATAAATATATGAGTTTCAGTTGCTTTATGCCATCACCAACATTTGGTATTGTCATTTAAAAATTTTAGCAATTCTGGTAGATATATGGGCAACCCTGTTGCCCATTGAAAGTGAACTGGATTAAAAAATGGGATTTGTATTGGAATTTCATTGAATGTATCAATCAATCTGGGGGAGAATTAATACTCTTACAAAACCAAGTCTTTCAAGTTATAAATATTCCTCAATTTATTTGGGACTCTTAAAATTTCTCTCAGCAAAGTTTTAGAGTTTTCCATGTAACAATTTACATGTAATTTGTTATATTTGTACCTTGATGTTTAAAAATTTCATGTTATTTTAGATGACGTTAGTATTTTATTTTAAATGCTTGTAATCAGGACATAAAATGTAATTGATTTTTGTATAATAAATCTGTATTCATCAATCTTGCTGCATTCAGTTACTGACTTTAATAGCTTAACTGGGAATTATTTTGGATTCTCTTGTCATGTCATCATGTTATCTTACTCTTTAATACTTATAGTTTTTAATTATGTGATTTTAGATCATGTAATTGTTTTTACATTTTTAGTTTAATAGACTAAATTGCATCAATTGATATTTGAGAATTCCAGATACAAAAACAAAACATGGACATAAATCATTCATTTAATATACTATCCCAACAAATACTTATTTACTATCTCTTATGCGTCAAACACATTGCTGGGTGTTGAGGATATAAAAATCAATTCAATTCATTATCCTTTCAATTCATTATCCTTGGGACCGCTTACAGTTTAATAAAGATAGAAGTAGTAAAGATAAAATGAATGTCCAAGTAAAAGATGTTCAAAATCCTATAAGAAAGGCAAAAACTGACTGTTTAGAGAAGTCAGGAGCAGCTTGAGACCCTGTAAACTGGATCTTCAAAGATGGTGATGATGATGATAAGCTGACATTTATTGGATGTTCACTATGGGTCAAGTACCCTGTTCAGCACTTTCACATGCATTATTTTATGTACTTTTTGCAACCACCCTATGAGGTAGGTACTGTTATCATCCACTCTTATCAGATGAAACTTAGTAAGATTAACTGCCTTAAACAAGAGAGTCTGGTTCAAGGAGGCCAGACAAAAGCAAACATATCCATCAACGTTATCTTCTAAAAGAACAAAGTGGTTTTCTTCTTCTCCTTAAGGATAAAATCTGAAGTAAGGCAATACCATCAAGAATGAAGAAAACAAAGCCAATTTTAAGAGGTTTCGAAGGTATAATCTACAGACTTGGGCTAGCTACAGTAGCACCAAAGATTGAGTCTGTTCTGTTTTGCTGAGGTAGGGTCACACAACATCGTACAGACAATTACAGCCTGAACAAGCACAATTGTCTCTGCTGGCCCTAGCGCAACAGTAGCGCTGTCTTACCTCTCCTAGGAAATCTAAGCAGCTGGGGGACAGGTCACAATGGGCAAGAAGAAAGGGAACATGGGGTGAGAAAGACAATTTAGAGGTTAGTGCTGTGAAAAACAAACCTTGGACTGTTTGCCAGTGAAATGAAAGAGAATATTGCTTATGCATTACTTTTAAAGCACTGTAGTTTTTATTCTGGGAAGATCAGAGTATGCACTTTCTCATCCCAATGGAGGATAACACTGAGGTTTCTCTTTTGGTAAGAGCGGTAGAGTTTCTTGAACTAGAAAACACATGAAATTTGAGGGAAACTATATCTAGTCCAAATGGACACACACAATTGAGAGGGGCTGCAGATACTAATCTTGGAGTCATCAGCTCTATTAATTGCATGGGTAAAACCACCAAGGGAGAGCTTGTTCAACAAAAAACTAGGAATTGGACCTTGGAGGACACAATATTTAGTGCTGGAAGAAGGTGATGTTAGTGACAGGGATGGAAAAGAACTCCAGAGTTCATGCTCTCAATCTCAAGGCTTTATTGCATCTCTAATGTGAGAACAGATTGTTGCATTCTAGAAATAAGTTTATTGATGTGAATCCAGAAAAAAATATAAATACCCTTTGACTTATCAATTTCATGTCCAGGAATTTATCCTATGGTAATTATCAAAGCTATACACAAAATTTTACTTATTAAGGTGTGAACCATGGCATTATTTATCATAGTGATATATTAGAATAACATGAATATTCAACTACAGGGAGTTGATTAACTAAATCATAGCACATCTGTACAACAGAATATTATGCATCTAATGAAAATCATGCTGTAGAAGAATGTTTACTGATATGGAAAATGCTTACTATATTAAGTGATAATAGTGTGAGTGTCTATGAGTTTACAAATGCATATTATATACATTGAAAAATCCTGAAAAAGTTATAACCATAATAGCTCCTTTTGAATTGTTTTCCTATGAAAAATGTTAAAATACTGTTTCTATATTGTACATTTTAGATCATGAACACAGATAATTTGTCCACACAGGAAAAAAATTATTTTCTAAATAGAACTAAGGGAAAACAACAATGTCAAATGCTGTAGAGTGAAGGTCTACAAATAGGATATTGAATTTAGCAACACTGTAGGATAATTGAAGGCAAAGACAGTCAAGGAAGTAGAGGTAGGATCAAGTGGGAAGTTCTAGAAGAGAGGAAGGTCACACTGATAAAGCAGAGCTGCATGGACACAGAGCTAGAGTCCTGTGTGGGCTGAGCACAGGAGGAGAGGTGAAGTGTCAGAGAACGGTGTCTTTAAATTGTTCCCACTGTGGCTGAGGGAAGCAGTGAAGTCAGCTCCAAATGAATGAGAGAATAGGGCAGAAAGTGTGGTGATGACCAGCAT